CTCTGTCACTCAGGCTGGAGTGCAACCTCAACCTTCTTGGCTCAAGTGATCCTCCTACCTCTGCCTCTCTATCAGATGGGACTACAGGTGCCCATCACCATGCTCAGTTAATTTTTGTATTTTTTTTGTAGAGGTGGGGCTTGGCTGTGTTGCCCAGGCTGGTCTCAAACTTTTGCGCTCAAGTGATCCGCTTGCCTTGGTCTCCCAAAGTGCTGAGATTACAGGCATGAGCCACTGCACTTGGCCACTCTAAGGCTTTAAATAAGGTGTTGGCATGATTGAAGCTATGATTTATTTATTAATTTGTCTATATTTACTTTCATTTGCATTATAGAATTAATACATTAATTATAAAAATTCAAATAACATAGAAGCATAAAAAAGAGAAATTCCCTTCCCAATGTGCTGGTTGGGTATAAAGGGTACAGCTACAGTTATGATATGGGATCTCACCTGTGTGAAGAGTTTTGAACTTTGACTTGCTAAGGGCCTGTCTTAGGTCAGGTGGCCCTAAAGCAGATGCTGAGACGAGATTCACATGCAGGTAGTAGATGAAGAAAGTGCCCCCAGAACAGACCCAAGGAAGCAGAACAAGACAGGGCAGGAGGCACGCAAGGGTGTGCTCCCAGGCGGGTCCTGAAGGGGGCAGCTCCAGCCCCGCTGTGGGGTTGCTCTGGGGCCTGTGTGAAGCCTCAGCGTTGTTCTGACCCAGGGCATCAGAGGTTTGATGAGGGTTCATTCTGCTGTTTCATTTAGTCTTTGATGAAGGGCAGGGCAGAGGCAGGTTAAGTGTCATACATTTCCAGACACTTCTAGCTCTGCTATGTGGGGGCAGCATGGGCTCAGTAGCTCAAAGAAAGTCTTCATACCCCACCCCAGAAAAAGGTGCCACGTACAGGCTATGGAAAGCCACAGCACACAGCATGCTACAGTGGGGAGGGGGCTCATAGAAGTGGTAAAAAGGGGGTCTTGCAGGAGGATCACATTGTTCCTTACAGCGGGTGAAGTGAGGGTCTATTTCTGGGTCCTGATGGACAACAAGCAGAGCCTGTTAATTTCTCCCTGGCTTCCATCAGTGTGTGTTTTATCAGCAGACGCAGCACTTGAAAGTGTGTTTAACATCTTCACAGGGGCTTCTACCTCCCAAAAGGGTGTTCAGTAGATGTTGAGAGAATGGAACAGCCATGCTTCAGGGCCTCGGAGCTGAGTTGAGGCCCTTGGACCTGGTCGTGAACAGTCACTAGAGAATGGTTTAGTAAGCTGCCCGGATGGAGCAGTGGGCTGGAGCCACACTGTGAGAGATCAGAGAGAGTGTGGTGGGTGACATGGTAGCCAGAGGCTGTTCTCTGAGGAATTTAGTTGGTGAAAGAGGTGGGAGAACTAGAAAGGGCCAGAAGATGGAGACGCAACAGACACAAGGCCCAGAGAGGACAAATCGGGGAAGAGGTAGTGGTGAGTGTGGGAGGAGGTGGGATGCCAAGGATGGACACAGATCAGCCATGGCCAGGAGAAAGATGCCCCTTCCTTTCAGAGAGGAGGACAGGGTCAGGCAGGGTGAAAGGTCAGGATGGTGATTGTATTAGTCAGAGTTCTCTAGAGGGACAAAACTAATAGGGTAGATGTGTATATATATATGTATATATATAGGAGTGTTTATAAAGGAGTGTCGACTCACATGATCACAGGTGAGGTCCCACAATAGGCCGTCTGCAAGCTGAGGAGCAGGGAAGCCAGTCTGAGTCCCAAAGCTGAAGAACTTAGAGTCCAATGTTCAAAAGCAGGAAGCATTCAGCACGGGAGGAAGATGTAGGCTGGGAGGCTAAGCCAGCCTAGTCTTTCCACGTTCCACCTGCTTTTGTTCTGGCCATGCTGGCAGCTGATTAGATTGCGCCCACCCAGATTGAGGGTGGGTCACCTTTCCCAGTCCACTGACTCAAATGTTAATCTCCTTTGGCAACACCCTCACAGACACACCCAGGAATGATATTTCACATCCTTCAGTCTAATCAAGTTGGCACTCAATATTAACAACCACAGTGACATTTGGAAGTGAGGAAGAGCAGAGCAAAGGGAACACATCTTCTCAGCCATGTGGGATGGATGGATCTTGGTGGAGGTAGTTGGAAGCATTGGAACAGTCACTTTGGAGACAATGGCCAAGTTAGCGAGAGAGAACCCATAGAAGGGGTAGGTGGTGGAGGTTGGATGGTGGACATTGCTGTGGTTGGGTCCAGTCATGGTCCCCAGTTTAGGGAAGGTGGCATGTCAAGGGAAAAAATGTGTCTATTAGGGTCTCAGCAAGATAGTCGGCAAGGGCAGATGAGGGGGCATTGGAAGGTCTTTCTCCCTCTGCAGTGGTTTGGCTTTTTCTGTTCGGCACCTACTTTGTGCCAACACTGTGGTAAACATCTGTCATTTAGCCCTCTCAACAGCTCCTTGGGGAAGGTGCCGTCCAACTTGCCCCAGCTCTTCATACCTGGGCCTTCTGACTGCAAAGCCATGCTCACCTGTGTGGGAGCCAGGGCTGCTGTGAGGCAGATCCTAGAGGCCTGGTTGGGAACTGCTTTGAGGGTTCTAGGGTGCCACATACATGCAAGGCACAGCTCTGGGGCACTAAGTTGTTTGTCATGCTCTGCTCCTCCCTCTTCCGGGAGAAATGTGTCAGACCCAGGTAGGTGGAGGTAGAACCGAAGCGGGGGCTCCCAAACAGGGCTCACTCAGCAGGGAGGGAGGGAGCCGAGGCAGGTGTGTGCTGCCAGCCTGCAGAGTGCCCAGTCATAGTTCTGTATCCCCAGCGTGGGGTGGAGGGGGTGTTTGTCCCTGCATATCTGACAGGGACATATGTACAGTGCTGCGTGTGTGTGTGTCTGTGTGTGTGTGTGTGTGTGTGTGTGTGTGTGTGTGTGTGTATCTGTTATCTGTACAGGGACATCTCTGTGTCTGAGTCTGTGTTTCTGAATGTGCATGTGAGTGTTTCTATGTCTTTCTCTGTGTCACCATACCTGATATACACAGAGAAATACAGAAACAGTAGAGATAGAGGGTTAGGGGGAGGCTGCAGATACAAGCTAGGGAAAGAACAGATGACGGAATGGAATAGAAACACAGATATAAGGGCACACATGCTCTCCCTTGTGTTCAGAAACACCCGGAAAGAATGTGTATATACCTACCCACTTAGTCCCAAACACACAGAGCGACAGGCAGGTGGAGATCCCTGGGAACATGCTCTGACCTGCATTAACGCACTCCGTCTTTCCATGCATATTCCTCTGTGTATGTGTGTGTGTGTGTGTGTGTGTGTGTGTGTTGCTGTGTGTTTTTCTGAGTGTAGGTGTCTGTGTCTGAATAACACAGACACGTGGGAGACAGAAAGATGAGGCTACACATTGTGAGAAACAGAGTGTATGTATCTATACATGCATGTATGTGTGTACATGTGTGTGTGATTCTTGGAGGCAGGGAGGAAGGGGATTCCATTCTGGAGTTGGGAGGAGGAGGGAGGCCCTGAGAAGGCCGGCAGAAGGTATCCTGGCCTTGCCCTGCTCCCAGTATGCAGGCCCAGCTCTCCTGTCCTCTGGCAGGAGCAGGATGACTGGGTGTGTTGGGGGCTGCTTTTCCCCAGTGGGTCAATCAGCAGGCATTGAAGGATCCCCTTGGGTATAAGCCCACTTCTGGACTTTGTGGGACCAAGTAAAAGATCCCACCAATGACCTACCCCACCTCTAGGAAGCCCACAGTCCCCTTGAATCACTAGGCCATGGAGCAGGGAGCAGACACCCTCCTGGGGCTGTGTCCTGGCTCCCTGCCTTGCTAGCTCTACCAGCGTGGACAAGTCCTGACCTCTCTGTGCCTCCCATTTTGGGCACTGGATGGCAGCAAACAGCAGCATTCACTTTATGGTTGGTTGCGAGGATTAAGGCTGCTCTCAAGGCAGACATTGGTCCATCTTACGGTTACTAGATGAGCTCTTCAGTGGTCTAGACCCTGTTCTTGGTGCTGAGGCTTCAAGAGTGAACAAAGTTCCCTGTCCTCATGGAGTTTACAGTCTTAGCGGAGGAAGCTGTCCAAAACACCAACATTGTCTAATGCATTTGGGTGGTGAGCATTAGGAGGAAAACCAAAGCAGCAGTCAGGGCAGAGTGGGGCAGGGGGTGGGAGAAGGCTGCTGTTCTGGAGCGGCTGCGAGTAGTCAAGAAAGATCTTGGATAAGGTGATGTTTGACCAAGAATAGAAGGAGGAATAGGCTGCTGATGGGTGCCATCTAGCCTCATAGGAGACTGCTGTTCTCCCACTTTGCAGTTGTGCAAATAGAGGTACAGAGAGGCTGAGTAACTTGCCCAAAGTCTCCCAGCCATCGAGAAAGATAACCAGGATTTGAACCCATGTGATCTGGATTCAGAGTGAGTAGTCAGTAGTCCTTGATCAAAGGTGATTTTTGCTGCCTAGGGACTATTTGGCAACGTCTGCAGATGTTTTTGATTGAGGCAACTGGACTGGAGCGGGGTGGGGTGGGTGGTGCTACTAGTATCTAGTGGGCAAAGGCCAGAAATAATTTGAGGCATTCTATGATGCACAAAGCAGCCTCTAGTGCACAGCAGTATGCCATCCAAAGTGCCAGTCTGCTGAGGTCAAGAAACCCTGGCCAAAATCCATGCAAAGCACTTGACACAGTAGGAAACATAGTGGGTGCTCAATAAATAGTAGCTGAAGAGGAGGAAGAGAAATGATTTGGAAAAGGTTGCAGGGAAGAAATGAATCAAGGGGAGAAAAAGCACATGTAAATGAATCCCTCATTTAACAAAACTCATGCAATACTGTTTGTTGGTAGGGTGGGTACTGGTGAAGCCAGGGGTCCAAGGAGGTTGATGGTCTGGGGGTGCAGGTTGAAGCTGGACAGCCGCCAGCTGCTGAAACACCGCTAACCAGATGACTCTTCTCTCTGTCCCCCTCCCACCTGTGTCTCTCTCCCCATCTCTCTTGGCCACTTTGCCCAGAAGGGGACAGCCGGAGGCTGAAGGGGGCCATCCAGAGGAGCACAGAGACGGGCCTTGCAGTGGAGATGCCCAGCCGGACGCTGCGCCAGGCCAGCCACGAGTCCATCGAGGACAGCATGAACAGCTATGGCTCGGAGGGCAAGTGAGTGTGGGGCCACTGGTTCTCCTGGTGCTTGCAGTCTTTTGCAGTGGGCTATGGGAGGGACCGAGCAACCCCTCTGGGAGCCCTAGAGCAGCTCCAGGTTGTGGTTGGCACCAGCTCAGGGCTCCAGGGTCATCCTCATCTTCAGAAGAGAGGCAGTATAACAGCAAAGCCCCAAGGGAGAGTGAGCAGAACACAGGCTCTGGAGCCTGACTGCTTGGATTTGAATCTTGACTCCACCCCTTTCCTACTGAGTGACCTTGGGCAAGGTTTCTCTGCCATACTTTCCTCATCTGTAAAATGGGATTAACAGCATCAGCGTCATAGGGGTGTTATGAGGATTAGATGTTTATAATCCACATAATGCAAGGGTAATATTTATATACAGCATAAGGCAGTGTTTGGCACTAAGGGCTATGTATTAGTGCTGCTTAAGAAATAAAGAAGGGGGGGCCAGGCGCGGTGGCTCAAGCCTGTAATCCCAGCACTTTAGGAGGCCGAGGCGGGTGGATCACGAGGTCGAGAGATCGAGACCATCCTGGTCAACATGGTGAAACCCCGTCTCTACTAAAAATAAAAAAAAAAAAAACTAGCTGGGCGTGGTGGCGCGTGCCTGTAATCCCAGCTACTTAGGAGGCTGAGGCAGGAGAATTGCCTGAGCCCAGGAGGCGGAGGTTGCAGTGAGCCGAGACCGCGCCATTGCACTCCAGCCTGGGTAACAAGAGCGAAACTCCGTCTCAAAAAAAAAAAAAAAAAAAAGAAAGAAAGAAAGAAGGGGGTAGAGAGGGGCTTTATTATTATCATTATTTCCTCTTTTTAGTTTCTTATTTCCTGTTTGTTTTGAAAACTATATAGTACTTCTTTTAATAAAGGCGTTTCTTGAGCATCAGCTCACTAGACAATAGTGTGGCCCGCTCCTTGCCAGCGTTTCCCTCTGTGGGCTTCACGTCAGAATTGTGGGGAGCACGTTACCAATGCAGATCTCAGAGCCCCATGTCCAAGCTGCTGAATTAGTCTTTGGGAGTGTGGCCTGAGAACTCCACTGTTAAAAAGCCTACCCTCAAAGAATTCACCTAGACTTGGGGTTTCTCATTTTCACAGACCCCTTTGAGAATTTCGGGAAAGCAATGGCCAATTTTCCCCATACACACAGCCCCCAGTGCATGTACACACATTCTCCCACACACAGTCCTGCAGACATGCTTTTCTCATAATGATAGGGTATTCCCAGATTCCCCTAAAACCATGCATGGTTCCCCAGATGAAAGAAACTTTGATCCAAAATGACTTCCTTATCATACAGATGACCAGGGCACTCAGAGAGGTTAAGGAGCTCACTCTGCATCACGAAGCATGCTACCACGTCTGGAACCCAGGAGTCTTGACTCCCAGCCAGGGGTTATTTCACAGTGCTACATTGCCTCATGGTCCAAGCTGTCCTCTAAAGTCAGGGAGGTGGGCTGGGATGTCATGATTCTTGTGCACATAGGAAGACTGAGGCTTAGAAAAGTTAAGTGCCACAACTATCCAGCAAAGTAGCCACTAGATGCATGTGGGTGATTAAATAAGATGACACTTTCTGTTACGTTGCACTAGCTGTATTTCAAGTGCTTGCTAGCAACTTGTGGCTAGCGACGATATTGGATGGTGTAGAAAATAGAACATTTCCATCATCATAGAAAATTCTGTTGAACAGTGCTGGCTAAGTGACTTGTGCAAGGACATACACACAGGCACTGAGGGGTGGGGCTGAGGCTGAACCTCCACCTTTTGCTTCCCTTCATTCCGGCCCTGCCCTCAGTTGGGGACTCCTGTTAGCTAAAAGCCTTCCCCTTTCCCCACCCCGAGCCCCACCTAAACTGGGCATCTCCAGCCTCGTGAATGGCCTTGCCTTAGCAGATGCTGCTGTTCCACCCACCTCCTAGCGAGACTTTCCCGTGGGCGAGAACAGGAGGAGGACAGCGGAAGGGAGAGGAGGAGGAGGAGGAGGAGGAAGGGAGCCAGTGTTTTCTTTAACCTGAGAAACATGGCAAGGCAGCAGAACTTGGAGGAAGATATTCTCAGCATCTGGGGAGCAGTAGGGCGCTACTGACAGGTGTGAGTGTCAGGGAGCCAGGAAGCTCAGGTCCTCGCCCTGGCTCTGCCGCTTATGCCCCTGGGTGGACTTGGGCACATCAGTGGGCCTCTCTAATGTTTGAGGAGGCCAGTAAACATCTGTCAGCCTCATGGGCGGGTCTGGAGGACTAGACTATGGGCAGGGCAGCATGCTTCAGTGAGCAGTAGCAGGGAAGTGAAACCTGCATTTCCGTTTATAGAAGAGGAAGGGAAGGCTCAGAAAGGCCACATGACCTAGGGGCGCATCATCAGAGTGTGTTGTGAGGAAGAAACGAGGTGATGTCTGCAGGTGACAGATGTTTGGAATATGGCTATTGTTACTGTTTGCTGTAATAGGCTTTAAGGGACCACAGAATCTAATTACATTACAGAGAGGTTCAAAGTCAGGACTCAAGAATGACATAGCCCTGGTGTGTGGTTCATTTGAGCCTCTTAGTAGCTGTGTGGCTTTAGGGAAGTTACTTCACCTCTCTGAGCCCAGTTTCTTCATCTATAGAAAAGGGACAGTAACAGTGCAGACACTTAGAGTTGTTGTGAGGGTTCAATATGTTAATACATGTGAAAGCACTTAGCACAGTGACTGGCACTGTAATTGTTAGCTATTATTGTTTGTTGTTGATGGAGCCACTATTTGTTGGCTATTTTGCTGCTATGGTCAGTTGTATTCTAATGGATATAGTGAGCCACCCCAGATACAATTGTGTCTGTAAAGTGCTTACTGCAGCGTAAGCACTGAGTCTAAGTGCTGGCTGTTATGATTATGATAACTAAAAGCTCTCAGGTGGGTGTTCTGAGCCCAACTGAGGAGGTATCAGGTGGGTTGGAGGGTGCCGGGTCCAGCAGTGGGGTCAATCTTGGCCTCCTGAGAGGGGCTGAGTGTTGGTGGATCCCAGCCAGGCTGGGCGCTGTCTACTGGGTGAGGTAGACACAGAAGGGACTGGTGGAGACATTGAGCTCTAGTCAGCCTCTTTGTTCTCCAGGCATTTTGGGCACTGGTTGGACCCAAATGCCAGGCTCTGAAACAGGAAGGGATGTGACTGTTCTCCCCTCTCCCCACCCCTTGGGCTTCTGCCAGCCCAGCTGAGGCTTACAGGGAGCCAGCCTCACTTGAGCAGCCCCTGGGAGGCTGCAGCCCCTGGCACTGCTGGGTCTGTCTGTCTGCGCTGGATCACTAGGCATATGTATTCCTGCAAGTGGGCACAGGAGTGCTCCCACATGGATTTTCATTTCAACAGATGTGATTGAGCACTTAGAATGTGCCAGGAAGTTGGGCTGGGCACCTCAGACACCCTGACCTTCATGAGCTTTCACTCTTGGGCACTCGCTAAGCAACTAACAGTGTGGGAAGAGCTGCAATGGACATGTATAGAAAACTTGGGAAATGCTGTGTTCCCAGCCAGGTGTCAGGGATGGGGAAAGGGTGCATGTGGGTTGGGTGCTCTGTCAGTGAAGATGCCTTGAGTCCCAGGTTATGTAATACCAATGGACAATGGCTTCAGCCCTTGCTATTCAAAGGACAGTCCACAGCCCAGCAACACCGGCGTGGGAGCTTGTTAAATATGAAGAATCTCAGCCTCTACCCCAGACCCACTGAATCAGAATCTGTATTTTAATGAGACCACTAGGTGGTTTGTATGCACATTAAGTGGAGAATCTCTGGCAATGGCCGCAGCTAACTCTTACAGAGAACACTTAGTATGTGCAGACACTGTGCTGTGCTTTGACTTGTATTGACTCAGTTAATTTTCACAACAGCCTGACAGTGGCACTGTTAATATCCCCATTTTACAGATGAGGAAATGGAAGCTCAGAGAGGGTAAATAAGTTGCCCAAGGTCACACAGCTAGTCAGTGGCTGAGCTGGGATGCAAATCCAGGCATTGGGTATCTGCCCTTAACGTTTACACTCAGCTCTTTTTCTCATATTATAGTTGCATCGATCAAGATTTTTGGAGGTAGAGGCTTCCAGGATGGTTTGGGTAGTTCAAGGATTCCATCAAGGATCCAGAGGCCCTTTCTCTTTCCACACCATGGGCCTTAGCATGGTGAGCCAGCTGTGGTTGCTCCCTTGGGACTGAGGAAGAGCTTTCCTTCCTTAAGCCTGTTCCTGCCTGATCAAAAATTGGGGATCTGTGTGTTAAGGATGGAGAGTCAACCAGCCAAGCCCCCAGGCCAGGCCCATCTCACCCAGGAAAAGGGCAGGAGCTAGAGCTCAAGCACCTCAGGTGAGGCCATGAGAACAGAACCTTCCAGACATACCATATTCCCCAACTGCCCTAATCCTGAGATACTCCCGATTGACTGTGTGCTCTAGTTTGGGTTTTCTCAGAACCAGACCTGAGACATGGGTTCAAGTGCAATCACCTGGGAGGTGATTACAAAATAATGGCAGAGGAGCATGTGGGAGAGAGGCGATGCACCCAGTAAAGCCTACTTTAAGCAGTCAGCTTTCCCCGTAGGCAGCCAGAGCCAGTCCTGCTGGGGAATTCTGGGATCCCGTGTAAAACATGCACCTGGGAGTTCTCCCTCAGGCGGCAAGGGAGCTGAGGTATTTACATGCCAGCTCTTACTAGTTACTGAGCAGTGGCTGCTCCCTGTTAACTCTCTGGCTCTTCCTGTGATAAAATAAGCTCTAGAGGCTAAAGAAGCCCTTCAGGGGCTAGAGAAGCCTGGGCAAAGGCATGCAGACACTGGCTATTAGAAGTCAGCAAGCACAGACATAATAAGGGGTGGGGGATGGGCCAGCAGGGTGTGCTACACTGCCTGGGTGCAGAGGGCCACCATCTCCCCAGCTGCCCAAACCAGAAATCTGGGGTTCTCACAGACAATTCCCCCTCTCCAATCCATAATCCATTCCCAATCCATAATCATGCTGTACCATTTTAC